GCTGGATGGTTGGAGAGCTGGCACCTCCTAATCAACACTGTAAAAAATGGTAGTCTTCACCTTCTACAACGGAAATCGCCCCCCCCTCGCTATCTCCCACACATAGAGCGTAAAAATGCACATCTTAGAAATGTCCTGCAACATCGCCACCTCGGCATCATCTATCAGCACCACCTAAAATGGTCAGCCCACCTTGACTTTGTGCTGAAGAAAGCCGTAAAATCTTTTAACCCTTTATGGGTCTCACATAAGCGTAAGGGTCGTATGTGACCCTTACAGTAAAATCGCATTTTCTTTGAGTTTTGTTGCTAGGAGACAACTAAAATGGTGCTCCACTGGTAGCTGAGGTCCAGAGCTTTCCAACGGTGTAAAAAACAACCATACTTACCATACAAATTTGTGCAGTATCGATCGACTGAAGTCTGGTGAAATTGGAAAAGACGACCATCCGCCATGCGCGCATTTCGAGAATGGGAGTGCATCTCTTGAAGCCGCGTCAGAAAAGCTTCCTGAGGACACTGACGGCACCAGTCTAGGCTGGATGTCCCTGGAGGATTTCCAGTGCAATGTCGTGAGAAAGAGAGCTCCGTTGAGTCCTCCTAGCTCAAATAAATCGTCCCCGAATGAAGAAATCAAATTACCAACCAGCGAGGAAGCACTGCAACAGCAACTCTTACAAGGACTTGTCAGGTGCGATCAGCTGATGCGCCTGGCCGTGAGAATCACGGCACGCGTGACATCGTGCCTGAGTACTCATCTGAGCGAGGTGACAGTAGGGCGAGCACATCACGTTTGACTTACGGGAAGCTGGTCATCGTCGTCGCCGTCGCCGCTCCACATCCCCGTACGCCGACGAGGCATACTTTAAGGTGGCGGCATTCGACAACGACTACCACGTCGCGGTGCAGGAGAGCAGCGCAATGTTCAGCGACCACTCCGTCATCGAGCTGATGGGAGCCGAGGGCAATGTCACCCATCGGCAGCCCATCATGGCGCCCACGCACTGCTACTATCGTGGACACATCACCGGTGCTAATGACTCGCTCGTAGCCTTTAGTACGTGCAAGGGAATGGTAAGCAGAAGTCCCATTTGGAGGATAATTCAGATTCCGTGTGTTTTTGCGTAAACCAGATGCAATATGAGAATTAAGTTTAACAAATATCTCTGGTTGCATATTTTAAAGGGAACAAAGCAGTTGATTCGTCGTTTAGGAAAATCTCAATCGCAGGGCTGCTATTCTTCTGTTGGTAGAAATCTGAAGGGGTTGACCCCGGCCAGGGGCCGAGGGCAGAGTCCCTCAGGATAAGGGGGCAGCACCCCATTAGAAGCAAACACCTTTGTAGGATTTCAAGGGCCTGAAGCAACAGATTTAAAGACACTTTTCTGAACAAAATGCGACTAAGATAGCGAAATAGCTGTTCGGTTGGTTTGTTCGAACGATCTGTCGTAATTAGAGTGTTTACGAAAGAATAATCAGAACAAGTGGTAGCCCTGCCATGGGCCAGTGTAATGACAGCCAAAACATTTATTCTGAAATCGGCCAGAGTTTTCGCCAGCCACATTTTGTTGATTTACAGAAGCACATTTTAATAAAAAAAGTGACAAGAGCATGCTGGGACTGGAATTGGTTGTAGTCTACCTGCATGAATGGGGTATCTGCAAGTAGTGAAACTACATTTTTGTTCATTAGAGTTCTTGGCCTCCGGGTATTGGTGCCTCAAACCACGACTGTATTTGCTTTGTTTGATTTAGGGAGGGGAGGCAAAAGTCCAACTACATGTACAAGCTGGTGATGACAGTCAATTTTTCTTCAGACCTTTTTCCACTCCCTCAACTAATGAATATACAGTCGTTCCCTCTCTAATCCGGCACTTGTTTATCCGGAACCCTTGCCAACCGGCGCACTTTCTGACGAAACCGATTTTTTTCGTTCAATTCCTACATCTTAATCCGGCACTTGAATTCCGCCTCCGGCAGTGACTTTTTGAAACGAATCGCTCAAACTGCACGTAGTTTGATTTCATAATCCGGCAGTCATAAATCGACTGTGCGTGTGTGTGCAAGAGTACGTATACATGTGAACATGTTCTCTGTTGTACTTTATCACTGTGTATATTCCTGGAGAAAAGTTGAGAATATAAAGCCGTGCACCAATACTGGGGTCGACACGGAAAAACCCTGCGTTTTGACGTATGATACATGCATGCAATTGGGTAGGGCCGGGTCAGAGGGCAGGCTTTCTTAATCCAGCACCCTCGTTAATCCAGCAGAAAATGCCGTAGCAAAAGGCGCCGGATTAGAGAGGGACGACTGTATTATGCACAAGCGTTTACATTTTAGGACCATATGGCCATGGACTGTGCATGCGTATTCAATCTGTACTGTAGACGGGTGCGATATTCTCCCCCGATGACGCCTTCTTCATCCATCCGTTACCGCCGTACCTTCTCAACCACAGCGCTAACGCGCACTCGCACACGCACATGGTCGTTCGGCGCTCAGTCGACTCTGACACCTCGGGGCCTGGGGATCGCAAACACTGTGGCGTCGGCCTACGAAAGAATCCTGCAGGTCAGTGTTGCTATCCATATACATATACACACCTAGGAAAGGCAGTTGTGAGGTTTTTTGTTTTTTGTTTGTTTGAAGTTTTATTTTGCAGAGGCAGTGCCTTAACCTGCTAAAGTGATCAATGGCCTGTAATAGGCAGAGTGCAGTGCACAACAGGTACACACAGGAAGTAGTTGTGTGCTTACGTAGTGCATGAGTTTGTTGATATGGTCTGGTGTTACACGCACTCATTTCCCGCATACCATACAAAACACATACTTCAAACTATGATGGATGAAGTTGGCTTTAAATATTGGTCACGTGACTTCATTACTGTAGATAGCTTCTCTTTTTTTAAATTATGCGGACAATTCGGAACAGGTTTGGTCCACGGGTTGCATACTGTGGCGATACACATCACATGACTGCCCAGGTTCAGTGACGGCACCAGAGAAATGCACACAAGCGAGTGGTTGTGGTGAGGCGCTCTCTGGGTACCATGTAAGTGGCGCCGGCATAGATTTTGTGAGTCATAACGCACCCCCACCGAGTGCTGTTGAGTTCAGAAGCAATTGGGCTATGAGCTTTTTCAAGGTCCACTCTGGGATTCTAGAAAACCCAATGTAGGCTTTCTAAACCCAGTCTGGGCTTTTTTAAAAACCAATCTAGACTGTTTCAAACTCAACCTTGGTTTTTCAAAACCCAATCTGGACTTTTCCTGCTCAATCTGGGCTCTACTAAAACTGGCAACCCAATCTGGCCTGAATCTACGCTCAAAAACCCAATTCGTAAGGAGCGGACATAGTGTTAACGTATGGTGACTGTATCCAATGCTCTTCTGCAGGCTATAGGGAAGCGCAGTACAACTACATCCCGTTCTACGCGGCCATGGACGAAGTCAGGTCCAAGTTCAATCCGAAGCGCAAAAACGTGTACAGCCAGTACGGGCCGATGTACATCGAGACGGCGCTGGTCGTCGACACCTACATGTATGAGCAGCATGACCGGGACCAGGACGCCTTGAAAACCTACCTGCTCACTCTCATGAATCTGGTAAGCTGTCGGCCGTGGACCGGGTGGACTGAGCAGCAATGCCTTTACCTGTGTTTCATCCAGGCCGGCAACCATTGTTTTTAAACCGACATTGCACTAATTGCATGTAGTACCTGACACGTGTGACCAGGTACAGCCTGTCGTACCGCACCACCGTGAAGGCAAAGGTAAACAGGCAGCCCATGGTCAATTCCGATCTATGCGATAGTAGGTGTTGGACACGTCCTGTCTCAATGAGCTCAACATAGTGAGCAGGGTGCTCAGGTCCTTTCCCTTGTCACCATGCTGCACTGTGTGTCGAAATTTAGCGCTGACTCGGACTGAGTTTTGGATGTGTGAATGTTGCTGTTGAAAATGGTGTTTGTAGATGCAGGCTGTGTTTAGTCCGGAGAGCACTGGGCTGGATATCACCCTCCACGTGACTCGTATCATCTATCTTACTGATCACCAGGTGAGTCACGAGGGGAGTGAACGCCGATGGTGGAACCCGCACTGATCATGCGTTGACATGGCAACACCCCCCCCCCCCCACCCCATACCCTCCCCCGCCCCCATACCCCTCCCCGCCTTGACCGCCACTAAGTTTAGCCTGGTATCCACCACACAGCTGATTGAAGTGGCTTTTTCTGGCCAGTGAATCCCTATTTTTCATTTTCATTTTTTTCAATTTTTCATTCTTTTTTTGACACACACACATACACCACAACACACCACGTACTCTGGAATACACTGGCTGTTGGTTACCACCCAGGAGAATGAAAGAAGAGATAGAAGAATGAGAAAGAGAAGAAAGATGTGTGCGACCATAATCGTCGGGATTTGAACCTGCAACCTTTCGATTGGAAATCGACTGCACATACCACCGCACCATATGGGACACACACACACACACGCGCGCGCGCGCGCGCGCGCGCGGAGTGCACTTGTGGGAAATTCAATATCGAAGTGTTGCTGTGCTTCTCGCATTGTGTTGTGTTATTATCTCTAGCCTAATATGCCGATTGGTCATGACTCCGTCGCACTTCTGGACAAGTTTGGTACATTTCAGCAGCGACTTAATCCCGTACAGGATAGCAATTTCATACACCATGATTTCGCCATGCTGCTTACCGGGTGAGTGTGTCGGGACTTTGGGATAAGGTGTGTGTGTCTGTCTGTTTGTCTGTTTTTTGTCCGTCTGTCTGTTTGTGTGTGTCTTTGTGTGTGTGTGTGTGTGTGTGTGTGTGTGCGTGCGTGCGTGTGTTCCAAGAATCCTTTTGAATCTCTCTCCCCTCTCCCGCGGAGACCCACCAGTTCTAGTAGCGAGCAAAGACAAGTACATGATTGTACATGTGTGCGTATGTATGTGTATGTGCATGTGCGTGCCTGTCTATCGGCTTGTCCTAACTTGTATGTGCCTGTCTATGTGCACGTTTGTGTACATGTTTGGTGATGATGTCATGATGATGTCATGATGATGTTTGGTGATGCGTGCACATTAGAATGAGATGTCATGTGCACGCTTGCCACAGGGCCGGATTTGCCTCAGTTTAAATAGGCTGCATGTCACATGATTTCCGTGTGTGTGCGCACATCTGTTCAGGTTTGACCTATGTGCCGCTGACAATCGTGCCGGTTGCGGTGAGCTGGGCCGTGCATACATCCAGTCCCTGTGCAGCCCGACGACCAGTGCTGCCGTGGTGCGCGACCGCGGTATACAGAACGCTGTCGTCATGGCTCATGAGCTGGGACATGTGTGAGTTTGAACGGCGGGGAGCATTATTACGGATTTGGTGTTGCACTATAACACAAGTAGGACGTGTGTGTTGGGTAGAACTCATTATGTACTCATGTCGATGAGTGATTTTCTTGTTTATTCGCATGCCTGATATTATCCTAAATTCCTATAGGGCTTGAAAGTGCTACGTCACAGCATAGCAACAATTTCAAAAATTCGAAAACTGGATCCACTTGGATCCAGTTTTTGTATGGATCCAAGCACATTTCAAGCGGTCTTACCCACAGCATGGTGATGTAGCCAGTGAAACTGACTGATTTGGCTACTGGGGGCGGGGTTACAACTGGTGGCGAAATAAAAGTCACACCTGCATGCGACATGAGTGGGTTGCTATGCACCCACATACTTGGGCAATAGCAAAGTCACACTTTAGTGGATCCAAAAATATAAATCTGATGTCAACTTACTACTCCCTGGCCGTTTTGACGTCATCACTTTCAAGCCCTATTGGATGCAGTGTGGCAGCCAGGATTTAGCCCAACCACTCATCTACATCAACCTTCCGTGGTGTACATGCAAGTGTGTGTGTGTGTGTGTGTGTGTGTGTGTGTGTGTGTGTGTATGTGTGCGTGTATGTGTGTGTGTGTGTTTATGTGTGTATATGTTTATATGCATGTGT